AGGTTTGTATTTCTTTAACTGTTATTGGCCCAAAGGACTGAGTTTTTAACTCAGTGTTGAATGCTCAGAGCATAAGGGCAAAGGGTGAGCTAGAGGCTGCAGTTGTTACTTAAGCAATAGTGAGCTGTTCCTAGGAATAAGGGAAAGGATCAAAACTGAAAAAGAGGTGTTCTTGCAGATACAAAACAGAAGGAGACATGGCAAAGAAAGCCATGCACACAAGAGCAAAATACTTCTGGCATGGATAAACTGTATGTATCAAGTGTCAACTATTATGAACTGCCATCCCAAACTATGCAAAGTCTTACATTTCTCTTTACTCATGTGAGGATTCCTATTAACTTCAGGAGGGATTGCTCATCTGAGTAAAGATACTCAGATAGGATCAGGGCCTAAGGCTGTTATAAGTTTGTATTCCAATGCACACATACTGCTTTGTTGAGATAAAGTATTTAAATGTGAGTGTTAAATTCAATTCTTTGGATGGAGCTACTGATCATTTTAATTTATTTGAAGTCTACATCCAAAGATCTATTCCTATTTTTAAGATGCTTGGGAAATGTCAGAACCCTGCAAAACTCCACCCTGGCTTACCATAGGTTAGTGGTAGGGCAGGGGGGAAGGACCCTTAGGTGAATATCAGAGGGAATAAAGGAGGATATTATGGGGTGAGGGAGGGGGATTGTGCCTCCTAATGTAGAAATTCTGCACCAAAGATTCTTTCTTAAGAAAGAAGAACAAAAGAAGAAAAACACTGGGAGCTGGCTTCCCAGCTTTGCTGCCAAACACTCTGGAGGACTATAGGGCATGACATCACAAGAGGCTGAAAGCTGAGCTGCTGCTCTCAAAGGATAGCCAGGGCATATTGATCCTTCTGTTCAATTCCGGGTTGGGAATATAGCTGCTCAGATTTCAACCACTTGTGATATTATCCCACTAATTCTCCACACAAAAAAACAAGACCTCATATTTCTAATGTAAAACAAGTCGAATTTGAACTATACAAATATAATTTAGAAGCAATAAAGTGCACAAGTAGTCCCATCTATCCCTTTGCAGTTCACCTTACATTAGATCCTCAGGTACAAACATCTCAGCAGCATTAGATGTTGATTCTTTTAAATTCTTGCAGACCTTGGGGCTTCAGAAGAGCCAGATATGTCTTTTTCAGGTGAAGTCACCCTCCACATGTGGAGAAGGGAGCCTCCAACTGCCCTACCCAATCTTCTTTGCAACAAGAGTGAGCAGCAACCTGAGGAGCATATAGTAGCAAGGAATGAGTCACCAGCTAGTTAAACCCTGTCTTCCCCTTCTGTCTTTAGTTCAGCCAGTGCAGGACTGATCAGGCTTTAAGGTAACATTTTGCAAGGTTCTTAGTAAAGCTTCTTTTCGTTTTTTGAATGTTGATTTTTCATCCTAAAAAGTTCATTTCTTTAATCAGTTCAAATTCTTAATGATACTTAGATTAGGAGTAATTACAACGCTACCATGCAGAGTTAAATTGAACCTCATCTTCTTGTCTCTTTGCAATTACTTTTTTTTTTAAAGTTGTCCTACTTCCTGGATTTCTTTTCTTAAACATACATTTTATAAAAAGTTGGGGCAGGAAGAAGGGGAATATATAAGTATCTTGAATACAATTTCCCCCCACAGGCATTTATTGCATAGAAATACATTGTCTCTGACCAAGTGTTCTCCAACACTGCCCACTCACCCACTCTAAACTGGAAAGAAAGCCTCCTTTGGAGTGACAAGAATTCCATACAATTATTGCATAATTAATATGATGACATATTTTCTAGCATTGTGTAAAATCTCGATGCACTTAGGCTAATTAAACCAGTGGGTTCATTCGTTATGGGGGTTAGTAATAGGATATGGAACCCTTTGGCTCTAGAAATGTGGCCCAAATGTATTACCACCTAGAAGCTGATGGCCTCTGTGCAATGAAATGATGGTCACAGCTCATTTTCTAATGGATAAATCCATTTTGTCAAAAGCCACCATCAACACCGACAGCACTTTTCTTTTTGATAGTTTCAGTGGAGAAGCAAAGGGCTTGACTGAGCCGGAAAACAGAATTATTCTTCCCCACCCCCCGCTCCAGGGCAGTCTAAAGATAGGAAGATTCTTGCTATCCATGCTGTTTGGGGGTAAAATGACTTCACAGTCTGACCCTGTTCTGAGCGCTTACTCATTTATAACATGGGACTTTAAAAATATGATGATATGATGTTTGACAATTGGTCAGATATTGACCAGTACTGGTATTAAACACTAATAGCAACATTTTGAACATCCTAGCTGAATTCTAACAACAACAACAACAAAGAATCCAAACATAATATTTTGTGGCTGTCTAGGGAGTTTCAACTGTTGATCTCAAAATGTTGTACAAACTGTAGGATTATTCTCATTTTAGACAAGATAGATGAGGCACAGAGGCCCTAAGTGACTTGTCAGAAATTACATAGTCAGCCAGCTGTAGAGTCAGAAGTGGAAGCCCCACTGATCAGCACTACATCCCGTTAAATTTCTTGCTGTCCTGAAAGGATTTGCCAGGCCTTAAATACAAATGATCAACAATGGCTCTCCCTCCTTTCTCCAACTTCTCCTAGGCAGTGCAGGAATTAGCTGTACTCTGATGCTATTTTCATAGATTCTAAGGCCAGAAGGGACTATCATAATCATCTACTCTGACCTTCTGCACTTTGCAGGTCACAGAATCTCACCTACCCACTCCTGTAATAGAGGAGTGACAGTGGAACTGGGAAGACTGGCTTTCCTGGCCTCTTTTTAGCAGGACACAGCGTGACATTCTCTCAATATCCAGCTGCACCTTAACAAGGACAAGGAGCCCATTTGATAAGCTCAGGTAAGGTGAACAGAGCCAGCACTAGGCATAAGCAGACTAAGCAATTGCTTGGGGCCCCGAGAGCAGTTCAAGGGGGCCCCCATTCACTTTTTATTATGTGTTGGAGATGGGAGGGGAAATATTCCTGGTTAGGGCCCTCAATAGGCCAGCACTGGCACTGCAAAACCTCTACTTCTAAACAGCAGCGGGCCACGTGTCAAAATTCACTGAGTAACCCAGAGATTTCTATGATCTTGTAGTAAAAGGACTCCTCTTTGTAAGTCAGTGGAGGGGGGTTGTTTTTTAACTAGAGCCCATATATGTGAAGGGTGGGCTGTGGCAGGGATGGGGGAGAGAAGGAGGGGCTGCTATATCTAGAAACAGTAAATGGGACGGGAAGGGAAACTCCCATTGAAGCCTTTTTTCCACAAATGCTGCACTATTACAGTGCATGTTAATATTACTTTAACAGCATAAAGTAATATTAGAGTGCACTGTTATAAAGTCATTGATCTGACCAAGTTGTGTGATGGTAGAAGAGTTACTCAGGCAAGAGATTTCTAAAAGTCTATAAATTAAATATCCCCAGAAGTGGACAGAGCACGTTAAATTTGTCACAATAGAACTGGGAAGTCTGGCTTTCCTGGCCTTTTTTCAGCAGGACATAGCTTTACACTCTGCAGACATAACCCCATCTGAAGGTTAACAGACCACCTACTTACAACATTCACTATTTACTCTTCTGAAGAGGCGTATGCTATTGTCCCACTTCAGGAACAGTAAATTACTCTAGACTAAGAGTACTCAGAAATCATAGTACATGGAATTTCAGGAGGACTGACTAAAGCCTATTAAATATCACAACCATACATTAATTCTTAGAAGTTTCTAATATGTTGGGAAAGAATTTTCAGTCTCTGCCACATTGATTTGTCTTTAGTCTCACTTATGGAAAGTGATTTTGACTATGCATAGTTTAGTTTGGTTTTAGGTTTTCAAAACCAGTTTTATTTACCTTAGATACTATAGAGTGGAAAAATGTCTTACCTATTTAGTTTTCCTCTTTACATCTCAGCATCTCAGTAGATGTGTTTTGGCTCATGGTTTGCTTTGTAACAGGGCCTTTCTGAAAACTCAAGGGAAGTTTGAGATGTCAATTACTCGGAGAATCAGTACTTCCACTTCATGTTTGATTGCAACCAGCAGAAACATTGGGAACCTTGAGCTTGTTTGCATGGGGATAAAGACTAAGACTACCATCATCACTACCAATAACCCCTTACATGTTCATGGGCATTCTTGCTTTCAGTGTTGGCTGCAATCATACTAAACACAACTCTGTTGAGCATCAGCAGCGTTATTCTCTCCCTAAAAGGTATTTACCTGTTATCACTTACTTTCTTTGGTTGAGTTTCATTAGATTGAAACCATCAGTTACTGGAGAACCATGCTACTAATGCACTGTGTACCTTCCTTAGGGAGCTGAATGACAAATCTGAACAGCTCTTCTCTACAAGAAAACTACAGATTCACCTCTTGAGCACTTGCTTATAATTACCTAGAAGTTTGGTGGGATGGAGGAAGAAAGGAGAGACAAATTCTGTTCAAATATGCAAGAGGCAAATCCTAACACTTAAATGGACCAGAGGAACCCAAGCGCCTTTCACTTACAATAACCCACTTATAACTCACTGAATGTAACAGGGATTTGTTTACTCTTTTGCTTGACGTGTCTATTAGAGGCAAACAGGACCATGATTGTTAGAGATCTACAGGTACCCCGGGAAGTCCTTGGCCTTGAACTTAGGTAAGAGTACTTCGGTTTCACTCCCTTTAAAAAGAGGGTTTATCTTAGTGTTTTAGAGCAATGAACAATCCCCTGGGTCAGAAAACTGAGGAAGGATAGCCACCTATTTGGAAAAGCTACTGCAAAGAGGGGAGTCTGCCCTCTAGAGGGACATAGGTTGCCCTGTTGCACTACAACATATTATATTCTAACGTGAATGTAACTGACCATGTTCCTATGCTCCTTCTAGACTCTGGTTTATAAACGTTGTTAATCTACAGCACACTCGTAATTTATGGCAGTGCATTGTCTTCCTCAGTTTGTAGCGTTTTTGCACCTTCAATTCCGACCAAGAAAATCTGCATTTACACTTCATCTTTATTTCATTATTAAATCCCATCCCCATTTGCTCGAGCTATTTTTGATCAAGAAAGGTATCCCGCTCTACCCCCTAAAATAAGCAGCAGTGCAGCACTTGTCAACTCCAGCCAGCGAGGGCGATAGTCCAGTCCAAAGTGCAGCAGCCAGGAACAGAGACACAGGGCGCTGGGATTATTTTTGTTTCCAAAATTCAGAATCCGAACGAGAGAATAGGCGCGTCCCTGGCCTGGTTACAGCGGGGTCACCGCGCCCCCCGGGGAGAGATGGCTTCCTCCTAGCGACGAGGGGCACCCAAGGCGTTTCCAAAGCAGCAGGTGTCTCCTCCTCTAGCCCCCAAGGAGCCGTGACTCTGTGATTGGGGGAAAAGCGAGATCTGGGGGACTGGCTGCAGGGGCCAGGCTCGGTCAGACGGAGGCTGTACGGCAGCACACAGCCTCAGCTATTGCCTCTCCTCGCTGGCGTGGCTGGGCGCGCTGCCCTCGAACAGCTTGGGGCTCTCGGCCAGCAGAGGGGCTCGCACCTTGTGCTTTTCCTTGAAGCGGCCGGAGTGGGAGATCTTCAGGTTTCTGCGGTTGCCGCCGCCGCCGCCAGGCTTCTCGCCCAATTTGGGCTCGCTGCTGCTGAAGTTGGGCTGCTGGTTCTCCCGACAGTCCGGGCCGGGGGGCGCCGGCGGGAGGGCGGGCTCAGCCGGGGGCGCCGGCGCTCCGGCCACCAGCCCCTCTTTGGCTTTTTTCCTGCTTCTGGTCAGCGCTTTCCACCAGGAGCCCGTGGTCGCGGTGCTGTCAGCCATCTTCTCCCGGCGCCCAGCCACCGCCGCTGGGGCAGGAGGCAGCCGCTCCCTGCTCCGGCTCGGCTCACCTGGGCTGCGAGCACTCGCGAGGCAGGGAACTCCCCGGGGCGCTCGCGGCGCGGCTCCTGTGCGGGAGGAAAGGAGAGGGAGTGACAGCTGCCAGGGCAGGAGAGCAGAGAAACTGACCAGGCTGGGCAGGAGGAGACGGAGAGGGCCCGAGGCCAGGCTGGCAGGCAGCCTGCCAGGCAGCCTGCCCTGCTCCGAGTCACACAGGGTGTTCTCTACCCGGGGGCTGGCTCTGAGCCCGAACCTACCTGCTGACTAGATGCCAGCCGCTGCCACAGGAACAGGGCTGGGCTTGAGATCCCCTTCTGCCCCAGGTGGCTCTATCACCTGAGTGGGTGGGGACACTAACTGCGGGAATCAGACGGGGGTGAGCTGTCTCAGTGAAAGGGGTTGTGGTTTCCAGAGATACTCAGGATCACAGCACTGGAAATAAGGCTAACGCAACGAAAGATCTTATTTCCAGCGTGCCCCTGCAGTTCCTGATGGATCAAGCCACCATCACTTAGGTCATTAGGAGCACACCAGGCTTCCAGACCGGTCCCTATTTTGCAGGGATCTTCGTATGACAGTCAGGACAGACTCGGTAGGCGAGGTACTATTTTGTTATGGACCAATTCGTCCATCTGCCTAGTCTCTTTCATACCGTGGGATCAGCAGGGCTACAACATTGCTGCAAACAACTCCACACTGGGGACGGACAAGTCTCTGCTATTCTGTCATAAACCCTAGAAGTTCTCACAGAGTCTTAGTATCGCAAACCACCACAATTTCCCTGATTTAAAAGATAGGGTTGATACAGATTGACTAACCTAAACACAAAGTAGTGAAGAGCGGAGTAATCTATTTATCTGGAGTCCATAAAAGCCCCTGCTTTGGAGAATTAACCCTACCCCAAGTTTTTGCACGTGTGCAGATCACTAGTAACTGGGGAGGGGACTTTGCTTTAACTTTTCAACCAGAGAGTCAGACACGTAGCAGAAGTCACGAGGGCTTCTTTGTTCTGGGAGAGCGAAGCCAAGGGTCTAGTGATAGTGCCACTATTTTCACAAGTCATAGCTCCTTTCACAATACTTCAGGACTTCCACTAAACCAGAGCGCCAGGCGCAGAACCAGGCCAGATAAACGCTGAACTGAAGTTTAGATGGACTTCTTATTCAGGTTTTATCCGAGCCAAGCTCTCCCCTCCCCTATCTGTGCAATTGATCCTCCGCCAAAGGTTATTCACCTCTCGATGCACATAGGGTTAACTGCACACCCACCAATGCCCCGAGGGTCTGCATCCCACAAGATCCTGCCCTCCTGCTTTACATCGCAAGGCCAAAGCCACCGAGAGAGCGGGCGAGAGAGCCATTACAGACAGCGCCCGTTTAGCCCCAACTCGCAAACCAGAAAGCGCGCACACAGCCAAACTCAGAGCCAGGACCGCAACACGAGGCTTGCCTCTAAAAGTGGCGTGAACAGAGAGGTTAAGAATGGACAGGTTCCTTGCTCGCTAGCCCGGGCTTAGAGCAGCGCAGGCCGGACACCAGCGAGGCATAGGGAAGGCGCAGAACAGGATCCGCTGCTAAGTGGCTGCAGCCCTCGCGCCCCGAGCAGCTGCCCCCGCGCGCAGCGGGAGACCCCGGGGGGTTGCAGGCGCCGTGTGTCGTATTCCTTGGTAAGGGCGCGCGGGGCAGGGCAGCCAGCGGGCCCCGTGTGCCCGGGAACCAGCCAAGTGCCGCTGAGTTCGGCCACCAGCGGCAATTGGCTCCAATGGGGCGAGTCACCTGGGGAGGCAACAAGTCGGAGGGTGCCCGGGCCCCAGCTGGGGGGAGACGCCAGGGAAAGTTTTGCAGAGGGGCCGGGCCGACGCCGGCCGGGAAGGGCGTGGGGATAAGCGCAGGCCCCCGGCCTCGCGAGCGCCCCACTGGCAGCCGCCCGCTGCGGGGCCACAGCAGGGAAGGCGCCCGGCGGGAAGCAGAGGGAGGCACCTGCGCGCCGGGGCAAAGCCGGGCCGAGCTCTCACCTGGCGGGAATCTGCGAGGGCCGGCGGCGAGGCTCCCTCCGCCCTAGGGCCCGCGCCTGCAAGGGGGAGCCGCGGCGAGTGTCCCTGCGGGGCGGAGAGCGCAGGTAGCCGGCTCCCAGGGGAACTCCCGCTGCCAATGCAACAGGCTGCTGCCAGCGCCGGGGGAGAGAGCCCGGGGCAGACCTTCAGGCGCCCGCCCGCCCGCTTTGCAGGTGAGCCTCCCAGCCGCTCCTTAACTGGCCATTCGGGCAACATCCGCCGGAGGAGCCGCCCGGCCCCTCTCCATCCCTCCGGGGCGGCGGAGACAGGCTGCGAGGCGGATGCGTTTCAGTGGACACTTGGTTTGGCCCGCCCGCCTCGCTTTCTCCAGCCTGCCCGGCCGCGTACCTCGCGTGTGGGCAGGAGGCAGGTGGAGGTGAGCCCATTGGCGCTCCCCCCGCGGCGGGGAAGCTCATTGGCTGCTGCGGAGCCCGGCCCGGCGGGGTGGAACAGCGGCAGCAGGGCCGCTCTCCGCGCCCGGGAGCCGGAGGGAGGGAGAGGGGCTGTGGCTCGCGGGCTGCCCCCCAGAGCCGCCGGCACCGCGCAGCCTACAGCTGGCCTCGGGGAGATCAGGGCCCCAGTTCTAAGCAGGGTGCAAACACGCGGGGAGAGAGCGCCCCGGCCCCACAGAGCTCCCGCCACGGCTGTGACAGGCGGCGGGGGGAGGAACGTGGCCGGCCGAAGGCGACACATCAGCCCGAGGCAGGACTGGAGCCGCCAGGCAGTGCAGCTCCGCGGACGCCCTGGTGTCACGGCGACAGGACGCATCCCGCCAGTGGCAGGGACGAATTTTCTCTTTTTAAAGCCCAGCGTTTGGTTTAAAAGTAGAATCCTTCCCTTCTCCCCCCCCCCCCCGCCAATGTTTAATGAAAATGCTCTTGATTACAATGTATAGTACAGTGGCTCCATTCAAGTCTCGCTGTGTGTTAGCCATTATATAGGCATATACAAAGGCACTGTCCCTACCCTTAAGAACTCACAATCTTTTAAATTGTGGTTTTACCCCAGTCCTTTAATTGGATCAATGTGAGTGGACCTTTGAAAGCCCTATTGATGGCAGATGTAGATCCGATTGCAGCACTAGGATCAAGACAAACACAGGTGATGGGTTTGAGGAGACCTGTTAAGCACAAACATTATTTTTTGGTTAAATTTCTACTAGGGCCCAATGCCTCCTTCTACTGATTGGCAGATTTCTTGCAGGCATCACAGCAAAAGTGTATCTTAGAAAAAGGATTTGAAAGAGAAGAGGGTAGTTGCCTTATGGATTAGGTCAGGTGCTCTATAGGTATGTAACAAAACACATGGCTATGAACAATGGACAGTTGTTGTCAGCTAAATTACCTGACTTGCTATAGATCCCAGTCAGCTTTTCACATGTAGTGCATATATGCACATGGCATGCTTTTCCAGAAAAATTAATATGTTGTAGTATTGAAGAAAATCTCTAAATCCATTCACTCTCACTCTTTAAAAAATTACTGCAGTTAACACCCCAAAAATAAGAGAAAGCATGCAATCTAGTAATACCAGCAGAGCGGGTGGGAATCAGGATTCTGAGTTGCTGTATAACCTTGGGTAGGAAGTTGACCTGTGCCTCAGTTTACTTAGCAGGGAAAGGGAAATTGTTTGTCTATACCACTGGTTGTAGTGAGGATCAATTAATCAATATTTGTTTTCTGAGTTTTATCAATGTCATTGTCACCAAGTAATGAATTAGACCCATATGGATAGGCCACACTAAAACTCATGGGAAGGAGAACATTTGCTAGAAATCATACCTGGCAGAAGCAGGCTTAGTAAAGAGACATTATCCTACCCAATAGAATGGCAGCAACAGGACGCTTGTGTAGACTGTAATCCATTGGTAAAAAATCAGAAGGATCTCAGCCATATGGCTTAACTTGGCTTTAGCCAGACTGCTGGTGAAAGAGAGAGACTATCTTCCTTGTCATCTTTTGGTTCTCCCCACCTCTAACAATCCTGCCCATGTGACACCTCCAGTGGGACTCATTAGGCCCTGATCCTTCCAACACTTACACGTGCTTAACTTTATTATTGTGATTAGTTCCAATGATTTAAGGAACATGCCTAATTGTTGAAAGGGTCAGGGTTTAGGTAGGGTGGGAAAGTACAGTAAGGTGAACTCAAGCAGCATTTTTTAGGATTCAAAATGGTGATGTTGTCTGGAGGAATATGCCATGTAGCATGTGTCCTTTGATTCTTCCCCACTCAGGCTGTCCACCTCCCTCATTGCCCCATGGAATACAAATCATGTGGATGAGCTTGTGATTGCTGCATGGTGGCATGGAATACTACCTTGCAGCCCAATTCTCTTCTGCATAGTCTCCCCATATGATTTTATGCTTGATTAAGGCTCATTTGCTCCCCGCATTGCCCGTCAGGATAAGGCATGTGGGCATTAATAAGTATGTATTAATGAGGGAGAGAAGCAATGGGCAGACTCCAAGTGTGTATATGTAATCCTTTATAAAATGCTCCCTACAAGAGGGAGTCTCCCCTTAAGTAACCTGAGAGATAACATGGGTGTTGCACTGGATCCTAGCAATCAACTAACCTGTTTTAGTGTTTGTAGGATCATGGCTTTGAGTTCCATCAGACCCATGTCAGGGTCAAGGGCCTTCCAATGAGAATATCCTACTCCCAATCCCCAGGCATTCAGATAGATAACCTGACCATTGTATTATATGAATATAATTGACCAGTAATAATAGTTTCCATACCTTTCTCAGAGAAATTGTGATATGCTACTTTTCTTATTATTTTATGATTATTATGGGCCTGAATTGCTAAATTCAGATAAAGATTCAAATTTCCCCACAATTCAGTTATTCATACAAGGGGTTTTGATTCAGGTCTGTTTCTAAAATTATATAGTGAAAGAGATCTGTCCATTCTTGAGAAAGACACAGGCGGTCTGAAATTTTCTATGAAGTTTTGAGGCACACACCTTTCTCTAATAGGGGGCGGGGAAGGAAATGAACTCTGTGTGCATGTGTATGGTTGCATGCCTGGCTAAAGGAATGCTAAAACTTGTTCTGTATTTGAAAGTCGTCAGTGCAGGTCAAAGTCATAAAATACTGACTGACACAAGATTGTTACAAAGGTTAGTGTTTACATAGAAACAGCTTCTTTGGAAGTGAAAACTTTACATGCTGCTGTTACTCCCCTCTTTCAAAATGCTGACTGAGGCATTTGCTGATTGCATGGTCAGAGAGCATTTTCTCTTTGCAGTTAGTCAGCATGCTTCTGCATACTGTTGTGGAGTTCGTATAAGAGAAATAGGAAAGTAGCTGATGCCTTAATTCTTTTAGTGTATTTTAGCTAGAGTAATGTAACTAGATATGTTACTGGATACAAAAAAGGGTAACTCCTGCCCTTTCTTTGTGGGCACATTGGACCAAACTCAGTCTTCTGTTGTGTCAGCGCTTCGGGGGACTGCCTCAGCTAACGGTCTGCATCCCACATGTTCTATGGAACAAAACTCTAAAGGGGCTCCAGTATGCTTCAGCATGGCACTTAGGTATGGCTGGTGGATCAAGAGCTATGGCCGTTCCCTCCATATGGAGTTGGCGATGCAATAGCTGCTGGGAGCTATTGTAGCTCCTAGGGTACAGTAGTAGCTGTGGGGAGGCTCTGTAGGCTTGGAGTATTCCTTTTTCCCAACAGTCTCCTCTGTGCACACTCCTAGTTACATGGGCTGTGGGCAGTGTTGAGGATTTGGCCCAGAGGAAGCAGAGTGGCTCAGATATTCTGGTGGTGGGGGGCTATAGATGTTATAGCAGATTGGCCATTCTACCTACCATCATCTGATTGGTCTATTGTCTGATGAGTTGCAGTTACTTTCTCCCCAGCCTGGCCCATACAATTGTGGTGTGACCCATTGTAGTAAATGTGGTGTGTCACTGATCCTAGCAAGACAAGGGATTTTAAAGAAAGATTTGTGATCATATTTCTCTTTGTAACCCATGTGTCACAGGGTCATTTATCTTTCCAGCTATGCCTCAGATTTCACTCTGGTCTGTAGTTTTCCTCTGCTGATGGGGTAGATTAGCCACTGAAAACAGGGAGAAACTGAATGTGGAGCCAATGAGCCCTTCTCTGCACTCTGTTACACCTGTTTTGCAGCTTGAACAGAGTTAGGAACATAGGGAAGGGACCTTCTGGGTCCCTGAGTCTAGTACCCTGCTAACGCAGGCAACCATATCATATAATTCCGTTAATAAATGTATCGAGTTCCATCTTAAAACTAGCTCAGTTGTTTACACTGGCAGAGAACTGGGCCCTGTATCTTATGTGAATACTATTTATTGCTAAGTAGCTTCATTTTTAGTTCTTCATACAACCACCTCCACAGTTTTCCCTCTCTTGGAACTAGCTGGCTGTGAGCCTCACAAGAGGGGGTTAAAGAGTAGGATTCAGCACTGTTCTACTGGACCCATAGCAGGTACTAACCTTCAAACCACCACCAAGAAACAGAAAGAAGAAAAATGGAACGTTTCTCTGCTAACGTAAGTAGGTCCAAGATGCATTAGTATTATTGTAGGGAGTCACGTGACTGGTGCCCCGTCTGCTAACACACAGGAAAGACACTTGCGGCTGGTGAGTGGTATAGGCTGCAGGCAGAGTAGCAGCACTCATATACAAGAAGAAGCCACAAGGGCATCTGAATGGCAGAAACTCGAGGGTGCATGTGCAGTGAGCTGACAAAGTGCTTTGAACTAAAGGAGAAGGAGGTTGAATAACAGCTCCCTTCAGGGACATGGACATGAGCAAGGTTCATGCCCAGTAGTGCTGTGGTAAAAAAAAAAAAAAGTGGATAAACTAATCTAATTTAAAGTCCCTACACCTGCAGTGAGAAGCAGGTGCTCTCCATTTACCTATGTTTACCCTCAGCTACACTACTGTTCTCACCTCCGGGACAACTGCTGATAAAATGGACTCTTGTTAGAGCAGAGGCTTCATCTGCTTCTAGTGTCCCTTGAGGGGACATGGTCCAAAAGTGAAGTGATGCACGCCACAGGGGAATCTTGCAAACTACTCTCACCACTCTTTAGCAGTGCCTGGTGAGGAAAAAGCCATCACAGCATCAGGCTCTGCTGTATTCTGTGAGGGGAGACCAAGAGACTTGGTATAATCCAGTCAGACCCAGCTCACTCTACACATTGGTGCATACTCCTGCTTTCCAGAAGTTTGTTTGCCTGGCCCTGTTCTTTGGCAGGCAGACATTCTGTTTCACAGGAGCAGGCTCTGCTTGCTTTTCATTTGCTTCAGTTAGAACTCAAACCAGGGACATGGCAGGAGGGGAGCTGGAGTTTCACATTCCATAGGTGATGCTACCTGTCAGCCAGCTGAGGCAGAGACCAACCATAATTCCAGATTAGCATTAAGAGTGTGTAGAAAATAATTGCACTCCTCTCTCCCTCTGGTTCCACCTCCCTCTCTCTTTTAAAGT